TATATATATGGCTGACCCATATATGAATTATTATTTACGATGCATGAAGTCTACTCGAATTTTGTTAGCTTGGTATTACCCTAGAGCTGGAGCTTGGCTTAATCACAATTGCAATGGGGCTAACGGCAACTAAATCATTGCCTCTGAGCTCTTGAGTGAAAACTTGTAGAAAATTCCTAGGGAAAACTGTTTATCTAGGCGCTATTTAGGCATTTGCCTGTCTATGTATCCCCCGTCAGTCCACAGTTTAGCAGATCATCTTTACGAGCTCGAAACAAGTTCATTCAGAAATGAGTGAAAGCATCAATGTCTATGGTAGGTCACCAGATGATCTGAACTATCGACTCCCACATATTCCGAAGTATTTTGGAATAAACTAAAAAGGAATATTAGTGGACAATATGTTTTATAGCCAAGTCTTCCATTAAATTCCCCCTCATCATATAGTGAATAATATAAGAAAAGTTGAATAACCTTCAAGAGAACTTAAATATGTTTCGTAAATTGCAAATTGTAATACGAGTTTACCCTGTCGACTCTGTTGAAACTAATGTAAAAGTTAAATATATTTAATATATACATATGTATATGTACTACTCGATTTGGAATGTATGTAAATACTTCTTGAACTAGACATGAAGGCATGACAGCCATACGAATCATATACATATATTTTAGGTTTGTGGTAATCTTCCAGTTAATGCAAATCTCGAACTCTACCTGCTGCAACAACAGCTATCTTTGTCTCTCTCGCGCTATCACGTCATACAATATTATCGATGCGAGATTTGTAGTTATTTTATATATCATTGATCATTATTGAATTTAAATTGCATAGCATTCTATATCCCATACCCAATTTACATGAAAATCAATATACCCTGTTGAGTTCAGCTGTTTAAGCATACGGCATAAGCACTTGACTAGTCTCTCTCTCTCTCTCTCACTCTCACTGTGACTCTATCTCGCACTCTGTCGTCATATTCTGAGGAGATGCAACTGCATTTTTTGCTTTTTATTGCCTTTATCCTATTTTTTGCTGTTGTTTTGTTTTTGCCATGCCAACGAAGTTGAGTGGAAATCAAACAATTGCATTTGTTTTTCTGTTAAATGTTGGGCGTATTCATTTGCGGATTGACCTGTTGTTGGCTGTAAATGGGCCGGGTATACCGTTAAACAAAGGGGTTGTCAATGTTGTTGTTGTCAAATACGCTTTCCTCAGGGGCTTTGCAGTGTTTTACTTTTGTTTTTGTTGTTGTTGTTGCTTTTTGTTGCCCCAAGTACGCAAATTAGTTAAGCTGTATTTTTTTTCATTTATTTATACGACAATTGGCAACGATGACAGTGCTTGTGTGTGTGTGTGTGTAGATGTAGCCGTATTGACACACACACACGTGCACACATGCACACATACATGCATAGTGGGCACTCATAAGCAGCAAAAGTCATCGCATTTTGTTTTACACATTGCGAGTTCTCTTGTTGCTGTTTGTTGTTGCTGTTGTTGTTATTGTTGTTGTTGCTGCGACTGCAAACTTGGCTCACACTCACACTCAGACGCTCACACAGCGACTAAAAAATCCCACTCAAAAATAAAAAAGCACACGCACACACACACACACACATGCAAGCGCTCGCAGAGACACACACACACACGCACGCACACAGAGACAGAAACCTGCGCTCACTTTACAATTACTCATGCGCCCGCCGCGCACTGCTTCTGCTTGTGCTTGTGGAGTGAGGAGCGACTGCGGAAGAGTGTCCGAGGGAGAGGGAGAGAGGAAGCGTGCTTGGGCCGCTTTACCGCTCATTTGTTATGATTTTTCAGTTGGCATTTTTAGTTGTTTTTCTACGCGTTCTGCGATCGGCCGCATTTTCAGCTTTTGCGCTTCGGGCCAACGTGCGTACGTGTATAGACGGTGCTCGTCTCTGTGTGTGCGTATATGTGTGTGTGTGAGTGTGGGGGGGGCGATAAGTCATACGAACTTTGAGTATATCGGCTATATAGTCGCATATTTCGCTGGCCGTAAAATGAATTCGGTTTTATTTTATTTATTTATTTTTTTGTTTTGTAATATTTTTTATTGAAAGTGACTGTGTGTGTGTGTGTGTGTGTGCAGTTAGTTAACTAACAGCCGTGTGTGCCATCTACCCCTCGCTTCGGTGCAGTTTGAGAACCATTGCAGTTTTAGAGCCGCTGCTGCCCGGCTGGCAACAGTTTTCAGCCAAATAAGGCGCGGCCCACAGCAACAGCGTTGAAAGCACGTCGCAGAAAAAAAAAAAACACAACAAAAATTTACAAAAATGTAAAAAAAAAAAAAAACAACAACAAAAAAACAATTTACAATGTCATTTATGGATTTATGGGCAATGGGCGTACGGCCTACATGCAACAGCAGCAGCAGCAGCAGCAGCAGCAGCAGCTCTATGAGCCAACTCGACAGTTGAAAGCCAAAAATAAAAGTATTGCCAAAAAGAGTAGCAGCAACTATGCAACTGCGCTGCCCGCAGCAGCAGCTGCTGCCGAGAAAGGACAATAGCAGCAACGCGTGCCAGCTCATCGAGCAGCGGCTCTAGGCAGCACAAAGTCAAAGGCAAAAATAGAAGAAATGCAAACAAAAACAATGGCTACTCCCTTATGCAACATCAGACCCCTTTTTGAGAGACACGGCAACACTGTAGGCTACTTCT